ACAAAGTGTTGCAGACACACACCCATGGCCAGTTCTGAAGCTGGACTGCATGACGTCATAATACTGCTGACTCCAGTTTGTATGGTAAAATGAAATTGATGGGTATAAGGTTCAACAATAACATTTGCTGCTATTTTCAGAAAAAAGGGTTAAGTGTATCAAGTCCAGCTGATTTATAAGGAACTAACCTGAGTAACTCATCAACTACCTCATTTACCTGAAACAATTGAATGGAGAAACAAGTTGGTTGCAGAGAGGGAATCATTGCCTATAGCAGAGACCCCAGAAACAGGTGAAGCCATTGCAAAGTTATGACCATATTTGATAAAGTGATTATTGAAGGAATTTACCATTTTAACGTCTTGAACCCTAGGCCATTTTTCTGAGATTTTCTTTAAAAAAAAAAAGTACCCAAAATGAATTGAGTATATCTCATAAACTCCAGGGTTTATTTGAGCTGGTTTGGTATCAAGATAAAGGCTAGACTCTAAAGTTTACACTAAAATTCTAAAAAGCATCACTTATGTCACTGATTGAGAGTAACAGGATCTGGAACACAGCAGAAATGAGAAAAAATAAATGTTCCGCCTAAAAAAATCCACTTTATGATGTTAAAATTCCTTCTAAAATACCTAGTTGCAGCCTAAAACATCTAGAAATCCACAGAATAGGGTCTGACCATTTGCTGACCCAAAAATCATGAAAAGGAAGTATAGAAAAGTTTGAGAGATTTTAGTTGATAGAAATCCAGGTGGACTTCTCTTGGACCATTTCGGGCACCTTTTGGCACAGTTTGTGCCATTGGAAAATTCTCAGTTTTTTTTTCTTTCGGTTCTTTTCCCCCTCATTTTTTACTTATATTAGAAAATATTTCTATCTAAAAAAATTATGTTTTTGAGGGTTTTTGGGAAAAATCCCCCCAAAATATATTTATCCATTCAAAATAAGTGAAAATCATACAGAGGAATTAATTTGACTCCTAATGGAGCAAAGTTATTAACAACAAAATGTAAAATAGAATTTCACAACAAGAAACCAGAGAAAACTGAACAATTATCTTACATAAAAAATCAGGTTGGCCATGAAAATGTAAAAATCACTCACTGTCAGAGCTCCACCAACAGATTTGAGATTACCACTTAGTTAGGAAACATAAGCTTGAGGCTTTTCCTTTCCTTGGTTTTGGAGCAGAAGAAGATGGGCCTGGCCATGCCTGTGGCTGAGCGAAGGATACCTGTCCAGGTGATGGTGGTTGCTGGATAGGGTCATATTTTATTGTCGCTATTGTGTGTTTTCCTCAGGCTTTTTTACTTCCGGTTGATTTAAAGGCTCAGTGTGTGAATTAGGTGTTGCTGAGGTGGAAAATGATGTTTTTATTGTTTAGACTAGCTTCTTCCCGTTACGTACATGTGTAGTTTGTTTATATTGGTGAACAGTAAGCATGGTTTTGGAATGACTTTAAAACCAGAAGTAATTCTGGACCCAGTACCGGGTTGAAGAGGTTAATTATGAGACAATAATGGCCTAAGATTTGATTGCATTTGGCAAATGCGAGTACTTATTGGTATTTTCTATTGTCTTGACTGTTTGACAGAACTTTTGGGAGACAGAACTACTCATCAGAAACTGGTTCTTATAATAATCAGATTTAGCTTTTCTGATTGACTGGGTACATTTGTTCCTTAAAGATCTGAAGCATTGCCAGTCACAGATATTGTTGAATGTCTTTCCCTTTTGCCAAGGTTGATGTTTTACACAAATCGGATCTGAATGTTCGGTGTTGATCCAGGGACTGAAACTAAGGCCCTGTCCACACGTAGCCGGGGATCTGCCAAAACGTAGATATTTTTCTACGTTTTGGCCTGTCATCCACACGAAAACTGAGTTTTTTTCACACGAAAACGAATCTTTTTAAAAACTCCGGCCAAAGTGAAGATATGCGTTTTCTCCGTTTTGGGTGTCTGCGTGTGGACAGACAAAACCGGAGTTTTAAGGTCCGCAACGTCACTTTCCCTGACAAAAAATGCTGACATCAAGTGTGCGACCTGTGTTTACACTAGCCGACAGCATGGATGCACTCAGAGCTGCGCTCGCTTTATCAATTGTCCAAGCGCTTTTTGCTTGTTTGTTTTTGCAAGCGGAATTACTGCTCCTTGCGGAAGACCACAGATGAAGGACGAGGTTAAGAACGGCTATTGCCCGGCACCTGGCTTCTCCATGTACTGCCGCCTACAGGTCTGCAATGTCCTTAACAACGTATTTATCCGGGTACGTGTGGACAGTTTTTTTTAACGAGGTGGTGTGGATGCAAGTTTTTGGAGGGGCGGATATTCGTTTAAAAAAAACCCGGCTACGTGTGGACTAGGCCTAATTTTAACTCCAACTTTTTTTAAAGGAGCATGTCTCTAAAATAAAGGAGTTTTTAAATTTTAACTAAGCATCCTCAACAATACAGTGGGGCAAAAAAGTATTTAGTCAGCCACCGATTGTGCAAGTTCTCCCACTTAAAATTATGACAGAGGTCAGTAATTTACATCATAGGTACACTTCAACTGTGAGAGACAGAATGTGAAAAAAAATCCATGAATTCACATGGCAGGATCTTTAACAAATTTATTTGTAAATCAGGGTGGAAAATAAGTATTTGGTCACTTCAAACAAGGAAAATCTCTGGCTCTCACAGACCTGTAATGTCTTCTTTAAGAAGCTTTTCTGTCCTCCACTCGTTACCTGTATTAATGGCACCTGTTTGAACTCATTATCTGTATAAAAGACACCTGTCCACAGCCTCAAACAGTCAGACTCCAAACTCCACTATGGCCAAGACCAAAGAGCTTCCGAAGGACACCAGGAAAAGAATTGTAGACCTGCACCAGACTGGGAAGAGTGAATCTACAATACGCAAGCAGCTTGGTGTTAAAAAATCAACTGTGGGAGCAATTATCAGAAAATGGAAGACATACAAGACCACTGATAATCTCCCTCGATCTGGGGCTCCACTCAAGATCTCATCCCGTGGGGTCAAAATGATCATGAGAACGGTGAGCAAGAATCCCAGAACCACACGGGGGGACCAGGTGAATGACCTGCAGAGAGCTGGGACCACAGTAACAAAGGTCACCATCAGTAACACACTACAACGGCAGGGAATCAAATCCTGCAGTGCCAGATGGGTTCCGCTGCTGAAGCCAGTGCATGTCCAGGCCCGTCTGAAGTTTGCCAGAGAGCACATGGATGATACAGCAGAGGATTGGGAGAATGTCATGTGGTCAGATGAAACCAAAGTAGAACTTTTTGGTATAAACTCAACTCGTCGTGTTTGGAGGAAGAAGAATACTGAGTTGCATCCCAAGAACACCATACCTACTGTGAAGCAAGGGGGTGAAAACAACATGCTTTAGGGCTGTTTTTCTGCTAAGGGGACAGGACGACTGATCCGTGTTAAGGACAGAATGAATGGGGCCATGTATCGTGAGATTCTGAGCCAAAACCTCCTTCCATCAGTGAGAGCTTTGAAGATGAAACGTGGCTGGGTCTTCCAACACAACAATGACCCCAAACACACCGCCCGGGCAACAAAGGAGTGGCTCCGTAAGAAGCAGTTGAAAGTCCTGGAGTGGCCTAGCCAGTCTCCAGACCTCAACCCCATAGAAAATCTGTGGAGGGAGTTGAAAGTCTGTGTTGCTCGGCGACAGCCCCAAAACATCACTGCTCTCGAGAAGATCTGCATGGAGGAATGGGCCAAAATACCAGCTACTGTGTGTGCAAACCTGGTAAAGACCTATAGTAATCATTTGACCTCTGTTACTGCCAACAAAGGTTATGTTACAAAGTACTGAGTTGAATTTTTGTTATTGAACAAATACTTATTTTCCACCCTGATTTACAAATAAATTCTTTAAAAATCCTGCCATGTGAATTCATGGATTTTTTTTTCACATTCTGTCTCTCACAGTTGAAGTGCACCTATGATGTAAATTAATGACCTCTGTCATCATTTTAAGTGGGAGAACTTGCACAATCGGTGGCTGACTAAATACTTTTTTGCCCCACTGTAGGAATGAGGCAAATTCTATGCCATTTTCCATCCATCCATTTTCTTCCGCTTATCCATAGTTGGGTCGCGGGGGCAACAGCTTAAGTCGAGAGGCCCAGACTTCCCTCTCCCCAGTCACTTGGGCCAGCTCATCCGGGGGAATCCCAAGGCATTCCCTGGCCAGGCATGAAACATAGTCCCTCCACCGTGTCCTGGGTCACCCTTTAGGTCTCCTCCCTGTTGGATGTGCCCAGAAAACCTCAACAGGTTAGCGTCCAGGAGGCATCCTGACCAGATACCCAAGCCACCTCAACTGGTTCCTCTTGACGTGGAGGAGCAGCGAGTCTACTCCAAGCCCCCACAAACTACTGAGCTTCTCACCCTATCTTTAATGGAGAGCCCAGTCATCTTGCGGAGAAAACTCATTTTAGCCGCTTGTATCCCAAAGCTCGTGATCATAGGTGAGGGTAGGAACGTAGATCGACCGGTAAATCAAGAGCTTCGCCTTCTGGCTCAGCTCCCTCTTCACCGTGACAGTTTGGTACAATGCATGCATCACTGCAAATGCAGCACCAATCCACCTATCGATCTCACGCTCCAGCTTTCCCTCACTCTTGAACAAGACCCCGAGATACTAAAACTCCTCCACTTGAGGCAGAACCTCATCCCTGACCGGGAGAAGGCATTCTACCCTTTTCGGATTCAAGACCATGGTCTCAGATTTAGAGGAACTGATTCTCATCCAAGCTGCTTCACACTCGGCCGCGAACCGCTCCAGCGAATGTCGATCACATTCTGATGAAGCCAACAGGACCACATCATCTGCAAAAAGCAGAGACCCGATCCTCCAGCCACCAAAACGGATCCCTTCAACAATTTGGCTGCGCCTAGAAATCCTGTCCATAAAAGTTATGAACAGAATCGGTGACATAGGGCAGCCTTGGCGCAATATGGACCTAGCTATGACACTGGACACACAGGGACCTAACATCCTGTGTCAGAGGACCTGGTATCCCATACTCCTGGAGTCCCCCCTGAAGGGCCCTCCAAGGGAAGCAGTCGAACGCCTTCTCCAAATCCACAAAACACAAGTAGATTGGTTGGGCGAACTCCCACGCGCTCTCCACTACTGAGAGAGGGCGTGAAGCCTCGTTCACACTGAATACAGAACGCATGCAGAGATGCTAAGTGTCTGTGATTAATTGTCCACCAGCAGTGATTAGTTGTGTCATCAGAAATAAAGGGAATGTGGTTAATTTTCATGCTGAGCTGTTTCTTGGAGTGCTATGACTCAATCATGACAAAGTTTGAGTTAAAAAAGATAACCGGTTTATTACAATCTAACCCATTTTAATACAAACATCGGTACACCGGTGGAGAACCATGCAGCCCAAAAGTGGTTCTGTCTTTCCGGCATCTATCCACTGCTTATAACTCTGCAACAGCATCTCTAAAAACTCTGGTACAGGCACATTCCTAAGCCTGCTTAGAATAGCAAAATGCTATTGTAGGAGAATGGAGTCTCCACAGAGCCGCCTTGTAATTTATGACTTCTTGACAACAGTCCCAGCTGTCTCTCCACAGCCTTTAAGGTGGGATTTCTTCTTAAGGGCTCCAAATGAATAAAGACACATTCTTTTTAAGCTGCAGTTATTACATTGTATGCTATTATTTTATATACAGATAAATTGTTTAAAGCAGACGCCACCGGTATCTAACAGCTTTAAAATGCAGTGGGTTATGTACTACAACCATCATGTGCCTGTTATCTAGTCTGTTTCTTAATTACAGGAGGGTATAACAGTTTTTTCTAAATCTTTAAGTAATATTTTTTTGTATTCAGAATTCATGAATGAACATCTCAATGTTTGGTTAAGGACTGAGTTTAAAAAACAAAGGAGATTTGAAAATCAAAATCAAAAAAAGAGGTGGCTCAAGGGCCGAGTAAGGACTTGGTCAACGGTAGTTGAGCAGAGGTACAAGACTAACATTAAGGTTGTAAAAAAAACTGAATAGTACATTTGGAAGTACTGTTATGTCTCTTTAAATGTGACTTTCAGCTAAATCTTTGTCCACACAGCTCACAGGCAAAGGCTTCTTTCCTGTGTGGACTCTCATGTGTGTGTTTAAATGTGACTTTTGGGTACATCTGTATCCACAGAGCTCACAGGCAAAAGGCTTCTCTCCTGTGTGGACTCTCATGTGTGTGTTTAAATTTGCCTTATGGGTACATCTGTATCCACAGAGCTCACAGGCAAAAGGCTTCTCTCCTGTGTGGACTCTCATGTGATGGTTTAAACTGACCTTTTGGGTACATCTGTATCCACAGAGCTCACAGGCAAAAGGCTTCTCTCCTGTGTGGACTTTCATGTGATCGTTTAAACTATTTTCATGGCTAAATCTTTTCCCACAGAGCTCACAGGCAAAAGGTTTCTCTCCTGTGTGGACTCTCATGTGTCTGTTTAAACCATGTTTATGGCTAAATCTTTGCCAACAGAGCTCACAGGCAAAAGGCTTCTCTCCTGTGTGGACTTTCATGTGTGTGTTTAAACTTGCCTTTTGGGTACATCTGTATCCACAAAGCTCACAGGCAAAAGGCTTCTCTCCTGTGTGGACTCTCATGTGTGTATTTAAACTAGCCTTATGGGTACATCTGTATCCACAGAGCTCACAGGCAAAAGGCTTCTCTCCTCTGTGGACTCTCATGTGTGTGTTTAAATTATGTTTACGGCTAAATCTTTGTCCACAGAGCTCACAGGCAAAAGGCTTCTGCCCGGTATGGCCTTTCATATGACGGGTTAAACTGGACGTTTGGCGAAATCTTTTCCCACAGTCATCACAACTAAATGATTTTGGTTCTTTCTCGACTTTTCTACATGAGACTCCATGTTGCTTCTCTTTCACACATTTTGTAATAACCGAACACTCTGAAGACTTCACTGCTGAATGACTTGTCACTCTCACATGTTCCTGAAGAGACCACTGGTGGAGGAACCGTATACCACACACAGGGCAGCTAAATGATTTGTTGACGGTCTTAATGTTCGACTCTGAACACTTGTTCTCATTACAGCCATGGTCTCCGTTTCCAGTTTCAGGCCCAGAGTCTGAAAGCTCAGAGTCTAGATTCACATCATCTTCATCTTCTCCACTAACTTCAATCTCTGAAGAATTGGATGTCTTTTCTTTAGGGTCCAGATCTAGGTTCTTGCTAGCTTCTACTCCTCCACCAACTTTTGCTGTCATCTGCCCAGCCAAGCTGCTGGTTGGGACACCTCCATCTTTCATTTGATGGTTGTGGAAACCTAAGAGCAGAGGTTTCTCATCCGTCTCTTCTCTCTTCCTTGAAACTGCAGTGAACCAAGCAGAAATATGTAAAAGAAAAATATTCAGTAAAATGACAAGACAAAAGACCTAGGGGTGTTTTTGCAATCAGTAAAATACATAACCAGTGTTGGTAAACACATTACTATTTATGGTAATGCAATACTTTAACAAATAACTATGAATCTAATGAGTTGCGTTTAAGTCCAGACATCACTATGCGATTGGTAGAAGGAAAAAACGCTATCTGCAAATTCTGATTTACGCCTCTCAGATCCAGTCAAACCAGCCGTCCGTCGCTGAAAGAGGTGAGATTGTAAGGCTCGCTGCAGAAATAAAAGCACAGAGCATCGTCTGTAACCCATAAAATAATAATGAGCATCATGCTGCTAGATCAACAGCTTGTGATGACAGTTAGTTCTGCTCACTAGGTCAGCTGACCTTAATCCACAAGATGGGACATATGACACTAGAATTCCAGATAAAGAGCTAGGAGTAAGGCCATTTAAACATTTGTAGGCCAGAACCAAAATCTTAAATTCAACACAGAACTGAACTGGGATCCAATGCAGAACGGAAGCAACTGGAGTGATATGATCAAATCTACCAGTGCCAGTCTAAAGACGGGCTGCAGCATTTTGAACAAGCCGCAGCCTAGCAATACATCCATGATCAACACCCAAGTAAAGACTATTGCAGTAGTCTAAACAAAATGCATTAAATGCATGAATAAGTTTCTCAAAATGATTCCTCATCAAAAAGACGAAGATTCTTTAAGTGAAAAAAGCATACTTGAACCACATTATTGACTTGAACATCAAATTTAAGCTGAGAATCACCGTGAACGAGCCGAGGCGACGCCGTGCTCTGCTTAAGAAGAAGTGTTATTTTCTCGCTTCAGAAGAAGCGTCCAACGTGTACGCTTTCTCCGAGACATGTCACGTCGCTAAGTTGTTAGCGCCGCGCACTAACAGGTCAATAGTGCAGCGTAGCCTGCTGGAGGTTTTAAGGGTTCAGATGAAACACACGACCACTCAGGCTGCTCACACATCGATCTTAAGTTGTCGCTGTTGCGCTCACGCTGTAATACAGTATTAGATGCGGTTAAAGTCAGACGTGAAAAAATTAATTTTACATGAATAAGTGATGCTTAGCCTGGTGGGGGGAGGAAAACCTGGCCTAATAAGCACTGGAGGAAACCCTGTCAAGATCGTCAACACTCATTTATCTTAATGCTATTGAAAGCATTATATCCACTGCTACGTTTCTGATTTTAAACTCCGTAACTTATGCTGTAACTTCACCTTGCCCTGCCTGCTCCTCCTTGCTGCCGCCAGCTGTGATCACAAGCGACAACATAGTAGTTCCCGCTGCTTCTTCGGGAAACAGCGCCCAAAAAAAATAAACAACTTGGGATCTTGTAGGCGTGGCGGTGGGATTTCAGCAGTGGCGTGCCGCCACGGCTACGTCTATGTGCAGGAAACCCTACAATCTTAACACCATAATTAGACACAACATTCTTTGCATCATATGAGACTGAGTAACTACAGGAGCACCACTTGGTGCAAACATCCACTATTATTAACCTCACGAAGACAACTCAGAGCTAAATCCCTAGCTTTAACAGGAGCATAGATCGGACAGTCATCAGCATAAAGAAGAAAGTCAAGCTCATATTTCCTAAAGATGGCCCCAAGAAAGAGCAAATATGAATTGAAAAGCAGAGGACCAGGTACAGAGCCCTGTGGGACCCCATATTTCAGGGGAGCATCACTTAAGCAGAAGCTACCAATCTTATGGATTTACCAATTTTATTACTCCCCTATCCTCAACTCTCCTAGAGAGCCGGGGACGTAATAACGTGGGGGCTCGTCCGGGATATTCTATTTATTTTCCACTCTTTCCCGAAAATTCAGGTGTGTGTAACAATAATAACATTGTGTTTGTGTCCCTTAGAGTCAGAGCATGGCGACCTTGGACCTGCCTGCGTTTGTGGTGGCTCCTTCGCGCCGGCTGCTGGAGTTGCCACCAATTTTATTACTCCCCATCCTCATCTTTCCTAGAGAGCCGGGGCCGTAATACTTAGAAAGATATAGCAGCTTAGAAATAGGTAGATGATTGGATAATACCGAGACATCAAGACCGGGTTTCTTAAGAAGGGGTTGGATTACAGCTCTTTTCAGACTCTTTGGAACTTGCCCACACTGCAGACTGCATATGTACGCATAGCATGATCGGATCATTTCAGTTTTTGTTCATGTGAACAGAGATTCGGAAATTCCGATCAACCAAGATTTCAATTGGATTGAGGAAATTTGGCACATGTAAACATGGCTGTCTCACTCACAGTCTTATCTTTGTTATAAATATGAGAGCAGAAACTCGGGGCAGTTGCCTTGAGCTTCTGCCCCTGATTGCAGTTTGGTGACTTGTCTGCTTGTTGTCTCTCCTCTCTCTCCAGCTGCAGGTATTGGGTTATTGATAAAATCCCTAACAGTCATGTAATCATTAGTTTAGAAATATAGAATTAAACAAATTTTTATAAACTATATTCTTGACTCTGTCTGAATTAATATGAAGTGTGTGTTCCTAAGGTCGTATTAAATCAAATATTCAAAGACCAATAAGATTGATCATTTATAATTAGATGGAATATCACATCTTATTGATCATTCAGTAAAAGTAACCACTTCCATCACGTTACACCATCAGCATGGCTCTACACTTCATCCTGCAGCATCTGGACTCCTGGGTACCTACACCAGGATCCTGCCAGAAGCAGAAACAGCTGGAGTTAGCAGGTCAGATCCACGGTGTGTAAAGTCCACTCATGGAGGGAACAGGAAGGGAAACCACTGAAGAACCAGGATAAACAGACCCGAGGAAACATGGACGGAGACACAGCGCTGCCCCGTGGCCAGGCGGGAATGTGGAAACGGACCTGTGGCTATTCCAAACACAGGCGCCATCTTGTTAGCGGCCAGAAGCAGAGTATGGGTGGGATGAGGCTGGCCCATACTCTGGAACAGCAGCTGCTATGTGTGGACTCTCATGTGATTTGTTTATTTACATTTGTAGTAAACCTTTCTCCACAGTCATCATGACTAAATGATTTAGGTTTCTTCTGGACTTTCCTGCACGAGTCTACATGTTGCTTCACTTTAACACTAGGGCTGCAACAACAAATCGATAAATTCGATGAAAATCGATTACTAAAAGCGTTGGCAACGAATTGCGTCATCGATTCGTTGTGTTGCACAACTCTTCCAAAAGCCCCCTCCCCTCCCGCCCGCCTTTGCGCGCAGACCGGCAGGTGTTTGGAAAGAGGAACATGCAGAAGCAGCGAGACCCCAAAAAAGTAAAAACTTCTAAAGTTTGGGAGCATTTTCAGTTAAATCAGGCGAAGACATTCGTTACCTGCAACGTTTGTAGGTCAGACTTAGCATGGCACGGGAGTGCTGCAGTGATGATGCAGCGTCTTAAACGCAAGCATGTCAGAATCTCAGAATCATCAGCGAGGAAGGAGAGAGCTCGGTGTCCGGGTAAGTTAAAAAGTTTTCAAAAGGCATTCACCCAAGCCCCGGATTATTACACAGGCTAGACATGCCCTAAGCTCGTAAAAAAAAAGTCTATAAAATCGTAAGCGCGACGCTATTAGATAGACCGAGGGGGGGGCTGCTGCGACCCGGTTCCGCCGTCACATTCCCGCAGAAACTGGTTGATCACACTGGGGCCCGACAACTAACATGTGGCTTTACAACCACAATGTCCTCAGAAGCAAAAATGCTTTTAAAAGGGAGGGAGGAGTCCTAACTGTTGCTGCATGTGGCCTAATGTGAGTCTATTTGGGATCATTAGAATGATCAGCAGCATTTCTTGATGTGACCTTATGGCAGTTGCCCAGGGCATCATCGCAAGGAGGATGGCATTCATTTACTTTTGTTTTATTTGGTATTTTTTCAGTCATTTTTGGAAATACTGATTAATTTTGATTAATTCACAGCCTATGTTTAATTACATTTAAAAATTAGTTGTTTGACATCCCCAATTATAATAAATGTCTACAGATGAGATCAAACAAAACAGATGAGAATTGCCCTGAAAGAGCAAGTCACCCCCAAATAAACCTTTTTTTGCTGATAAACTAAATAAACGAGTGTCTAATCGTGCTGCAGACACGTGTCGTCAATAATTTGGCACTTCAGTGCATCTTAGTTCAAATTTAAATATTCTGCCTCAAACTGGCAGTGTTGTGCCGTTGTCAGGTAAAAACTCTGCACTGTATTTTAATTTAAATCTGCCACCGCTATTGGCTAAGAAGTATGCTATGATGTAAACTGGTACATTGTTATGTCACAATGCTGTCGTGAGCCTGAGTGTGTGTGTATTTGACAGCGGCTCCGCCCTCTCGGTCTGCCAGGAAACAGCATCTGTTGCATTTTTCAAACATGAAATGGGAGTGGAGTTAGACTCTGGTAGGGGTTGACTTGCTCTTTAAGCTGTTTAACTTGGACCAAGCATTTTAGGTCACAGATAGGTGTAGCTTAGGGTCTCTGTCTATACACCTTATAAGACAATTTAGGTGATGGCATGTTGTTTTTCTGCTATTGAACTGTTTTCTAATAATGTTGTGTTTAATAAAGTGAAGGAAGGAGAGAAATAACGTTTCCCTAGCAGTTTTTAAAAATGTCCCTATGTAATCCGATTAATCGTGTCGAGACCCCATCCGATTCATCGATTATCCAAATAATCGTTTGTTGCAGCCCTATCTAACACATTTCTTATGAACCAAACAGCCTGAAGACCTTATTGCTGGATGACTTGTCTCCCTCACGTGTCTCTGGAGAGACCACTTGTGAAGAACTTGTTGACAGACTTACCATCTGACTCAGAAGACCTGCTCTCATTCCAGTCATCATCTTCATCTCCAGTTTCAGACCCAGAGTCTGACAGCTCAGAGTCCAGATTCACACCATCTTCATCATCATCATCATCTTCATCTCCACTAACTTCAGTCTCTGAAGAATCAGATGTTTGTTCATGAGGGTTCAGATCTGGGTTCCTGCTAGTTCCTGCTCCTCCACCAGTTTCTGCTGCCATCTGGTCAGCTGAGCTGCTGGTTGGAACATCTCTGTCTTCTATTTGCTGCTGATGAAGCTGTGAGACCAGAGGTTTCTCTTCATCATCCTCACTCTTTATAGAAACAGCAGTAACAGGAAACCCGACAGCTTCAGTCTCCTCCTTCAAACAGAGATGCTCTCCCTCCAGACTGGTCCAGAGCTCCTCCTGTTCCTCCTTTATGTGGAGGTGTTCTGGGTCCTGCTGGTCCACACCAGCACTCTGTTCTTCAGGAGCTTCTTCTTTAACCAGCACCAGCTGTGGAACATCTGTAGGAAACACAGACACATGATGTTACAGACCACCATACCTTTATATTTACACCATGAGTGATACTATATATATATATATATATATATATATATATATATATATATATATATATATATATATATGTATGTAACGGCATGAAGGTTCTCTGATTTGTGCCAAAGGTCACATTTGCCCAGCTGGGTCAAGCTAGGTCAAACAGTACTTTGAATCCACAGATTAAACCCAAGGAGCCAAGATGTCTGCTCAAGATTATAACATCATCTGCTGTTCCATCCCAGAAGGACACTTCAAGCCACGATGATAATAATTAGATACTAATTAATAAACTCATTGTTTATTACTGTTTAATATAATCATCATAACATGGTCACTTGGTTCATTATAAAGGTATTTTAATTACATGAAATGGTTATTATGCTTTGGGTATAATAATG